TTATTCTCCACACTCTACTAACAATTAGCAGATGGATTGATCTTACCTCAGACCTCTCAAACCACAGTAGGGACTCAGGAATATGACTCTTTCAACAGGCTACCTGCTGATAATCTTTTCTTTAACGCAATTAGAGAAACAAGAATTTATATTTTTACAGCGCCCTTTACATTGGAATGTCTCAATATTTTACAATAATTATTGACAATTCAGTTATTTCAATTATTATCAGTACCTTGGGACGTTCCCCCTGACATGTCGTCATGTATAATGACTTTTTGTGTTGGTAGAGACAGGAGCTGCTTGTGTGCACCAGTTATGACAGTTCAAAAATTTGTTGTGAGTGTTGCGGGAAATGGTTTTATGGAATATAGAATCATAGAAATGTACAGCACAGACCAAGGGATTCATTCCACTTCCTTATCCCAATACCTCTTCAAACCTTTATATGAGATGGGAAAGGGCATGACCCCCCCTCTAAACATGGCTGTTTCTGGTCCCATATCTCTTAACGAGACCGGCCAATCTGAAGCTTCTGAATAATAATAATAATAAACTAATAACCTCTGCATTTGATGTATTGCTTTTCAAGCCAACAACAACAACTTGCATTTATATAGCGCCCTCTATGCAAGGTGGCGTCCCAGAGTGCTTAACAACTATTTGGGCTTTAGAGACATTTAGAATCAAGGTCAGTTTGATTTTCCTATTGAAAACAGATCCACAAATCCCTGAGTGCAGATATAAGCAGTCCAGACCCATTTTTATTTTCTCTATTAAATTTGTCTGTATTCTTCTGAGTCGGGAGGATATCTCAAAGCACTTCACAGGATTTACTGTGAATTGTAGTGACTCTGTATTTTGCAGTCCATTTCCACACAGCAACGGCCCACGAACAGCTGTGAAAGAAAATTGGACCAAGTTCAAATATTCAATGAATTATCCCAAATGTGTCCAATTTGGGATACATCAGTTCAGAGATTGACTTGGTGCTGGTCCCTTTTACAGCATTACAGAGATAATTTGTGGTTTAAAATCTGATGTTCTGAAACACACGATCAGAGTGAAGTCCACAAGATAACAACTCTGAATACATCTTGAAACACTTCACATGTTCGGGTGTATTCCTGGCTGTAAATTCCTTCCCAAATTCTCAGAAGAATACAGACAGATTTAATAGAGAAAATAAAAATCAGTCTGGACTGGTTATATCTGCACTCAGGAATTTGTGGCTCTGTTGCCTGTTTTCAACAGGAAAATCAAACTGACCTTTATTCTGAATGCCTCTAAAGCCCAAATAGTCCTCCAGTTGCTAATTTCAGTGACCTCTACAAATAGGGCAGGAATAGTGGGAGATCAAAGATGTTTAGAGTCCCTTTTCTTTCCTCCTCCACCCCCCCACCACCTCCCCCGAGCATTCCCACCCATTAGAAAAAAGTAAAAGCAGAAATTGAATGTGAAATTGGGGAATAGGGCCAACTGAGCTTGCTAAGGGTTTATGAAAGGTAGTAAGAAATAATTCTTGCAGCCCTGCACATCTGAGACAGCACATCAAAGAGGAGTTATCAACCCAGATCTGAGCTGCCAGGCGCGAACTTAACAATACAAAGGAGTCCAGCTGGAGAGCTCGGCTCTAGTGGAATGTGTGAGGTTTTGACCCTTTATTTTAGGTCCACATCAAAAAATGACCCGCTTGTAAAATAACATTTAATTCATTTCTGCTGGAAGTGTATGTATTTACACTATGGTTTACTACCATGTTTGCACAGTGTGTTGTGAATTGGTCCTTGCTGGTCGTGTAAGTGTCCTACTAAATGCTCCTCTTGTTGAAGATGCTGGTGAATGCTACATGTTTGGGCATGCAGGGGATAGAGACGTCCCCTTACCAGGTTAAACTCTACACTTGCAAGATAATGTTATGCCATTTAAAAAGAGAAGGGCGTTTCCCCCTACGTACCTTGCCCAACAATCAATTTCATCACATCAGTCTATGCTCGATTCAAGCCCAGCTCCCAGAGGATAAAAGGATATGTGCTTGGCCATTACAGAACCTAATTAACCAGCAATATATTTGTACAAAGAGTGAAACAGCATATAAACAGCCGTTCGGCCCAACTAATCCGTGACGGTATTTATTATCCACTTGGCCTCTACCCCTCCCAGTTCTCCTCTTCTATAGTACCTCTATTCACCTTCTCTGTATGCATCAAGTTTCCTCTGAAATATGTTTTTTCGTTCAACCAGTTTCTGGCAGTGAGTTTCAGATTCTTACCAATCTCTTCCTAAACTCCTTTTGAGCTGTACTAGTAGCTAGCTTGTATTTATCTTCCCCTTGTTTTGGACTAACCAACAAGTGGTAACACCCCAACAACCTTCACCTTATTGAAACCTTTCACAATTTTAAACACCTCTATTATGTGTAAAATATCAGTTGTCAAAGGATTATGTGAACTTACATTGGAACCCAGCCTGGATGTCTGCACCACTTCAAAGATTAATTCAACATGTGAAGCATATGCTAGCTCTTTTAGTAATTATTTCCTTTCAAGTCCATGCTGTATGAGTGTCCTTTGTATTTTAGTGTGAGACACACTGTACTTACAGGTCTACTCTTCTTCAAAAACAACACATCTGCAAAGAGACTTTGGGCTTGAAGATTCATGATGTCTCAGACTGACCTGAAATTGACCACGTGGTTATTACAAAGGCCATTGGTAGCTTTAAACCATCCGCAGGGTCACTTTGTAGCTTTACACAAATCTTCGCAACTTGTATAAATTTACATCATAATCTGTGAGCGTACCATTGAAGAATGCAGCTGGGCGATATATTAATCATTGACCAGCCTGCAGGTATTACCAACCCCCATCTGTCCCAGTGGTCAAGTTCAAAGCAGGCTGTGTATTGGCCTGTGGTGGGTGGAGTGAGGTATTAGCTGGTTAGGGAGATACTGGTTTGAATTCAGCAAACCATACAGAGTTAGATCCTGCTAACTGGGCTTCAGACCACAAACATGGTAACAGGCAGGAGATCACATCAGTATTTAAGAGATGAACTGGCCACATTTTCATCAATGTGTTATTCATGGGAAACGCCCATTTTGCGGGACGAAGTTTCTTTACTGAAAAGAAAGTCCAAGTTGTCATGTGTGACCAAAGGACGTTCCCAGGACATTCAGTTCAATCTTTTGACAGCTAACTGCAAACACAGATGTTCCAAATATATAACCTCCTCCCTCATTCCAGAAGCTTTTTATTTCACATACAGTTCATTTCATCATCGTACTTCTCTGCTACTCCTCCCTCTCAGCTAACTTGTGCACCCCCCTGCCCCAGCCCCAGTAGTGGTGGCCAAGTCTTCTGTTCCCATGCCCCTACCCTCTGCAATGCCCTGCTTGTACCACCCTGTACCCCTCCTCTCTTTAAATCCTGCCCCAAATCCTAACTCTTCACACGTGTATATGGCCAAACCCCTTCTCTCCCTCGTTGAACAGCCAAACTCAACTCATCCTTGTATAGTGTTTTGAGATGTTACCCTACTATGTAAATACAAGTTGTTTTGACTTTTTTGTTAATGTTTTTTTAATGTCCAAAATTAGAATTTTACATAGAAATTCCCTCAGATTCTACATTGTGTCAACCCTGCAGGGGATCTAAAATGGCAAACACAAGATAGAGATTGTCAGCTATATAGAGTGCCTTTTAAGTGGGGAAGATTGCCCAAGATGCTAGACAGTCCAGGGTTGGCACCCGAGCTGTGGGGAGTGGGGTGAGGGAGGGGGGGGGAGAGGGGGGATGGGAGATAACCAAAAGAGTGGTCAAAAAGCAAGGTCTTGAGACAGAGCTTAAAAGAAGTGAGGGTGGGGGCAAGAGGGAATTCGAGATGGAGTTCCAGAGAGTGGGGCCAGACAGGCTGAAAGCCCGATCACCAATGGTGGGGCAGGTAGCGCAAGGGACAAGAAGCAGGCCAGATTATTGTTCTAACATTTAAGACTGTGCAGCATTCTGAAAAATTCTTTGGGTTGGCTTTAACCGGTTTCTCACAGGTCTTTTTAATAAGTGCAAGAAAATCCACTTTCGCAATGAGACTGAGTTTAAGAATTTTCCGATATTGTGCACAGTCTTAAATATTAAGGCAACGGCTGTAACAGTTAAGATCATGAGCAACTGGGGGCCTCCAAGAGGAGAGGCCAATATACAAAGAAAAACATGAAAAGATATAGAATGAGTTACACAATCCAAAGTTTAAATGAAGGTCAACATCGCTGAAGTTTGATGGGAACTTGTTAAGAATCCAAACATTCTTTTCAACCTCAAGTGCTTGGTTTAAAGGGCGTGAGGGAGGGTCAGTAGCTTCTGTTTTATCTACCAGAAGGGGCTGGGCAGTATTTAGTTTTGATCAGCCACGTGTAGTCAGCATTTGAATGAAGTACAGAGATAAATATTAGGAAACAGCCATTTTTCTCCTGAAGGAAAGATGTGTCCCAACGTGTGTCCAAGTTGGAGCTTGACATTTGAAAGTGCGTCCGCCGTAGACTGTTTCAACAACATCTGTTAAACAACTGTGCAGAGAGTGCTGGTTATAATAATAATCCTTGCATTTGATATAGCGCTTTTCACATCTTCGGACGTCTCAAAACGCTTCACAGAATATACTATAAAGTGAATTGAAATGCGGCAGCCAAATTGCGCGCAGCAGTGTCCCACAAACAGTCGTGGATTGAAGTGACCAATTTATTATTGTTTTTTTTCTTGAGGGATTATTATTAGGCGTGTGGAGTAAGGAAACTTGCCCAAGGTTCCCTGCTTGGAAACTTGCCCAAACTTCCCTGCTGGGAATTGAACCCAGGTCTCTTGCTTGAGAGGCAAGCGCTCTAACCACTGAACTATAGGACTCCACATCTGGTTACAGATGGGTGAGTAAACAGTTCAGAGAAGCCTGCTCTTGAGCATTCATTTGCCAGGCTGCAACAAGCACGCGAATAGCAATTAAAAATAAAATTACAGAAGGATGCACCTTTTATTGTAACTGGGGGGTGGGGAGTGGGATAAAAGGGAACTTTACAAATATAAGTCCGAACTCAACTGCATCTTTGTTTAACTGCCTAGAGAGCGTCATAGGCATATCAATGCAACACTTCCAACAACTGGGAATAATAAAGCACATTTAAACTATATAGAATAATCACAGTAAATTATATCAAACAAAGAAAGAATATATCTCCCCTAATACTTGTCACTTGACATTGTTTCTCCACAGCATATTTCATTTTTTTAAATTTTTCCTCTTCAACAGAGTCACAGGATGTTTTGTGAAAAATAAAGCATGGATTCTTTCATGACTTTTCTAACTTGAGCACTTAACACTTACCGAGTCTGCCTCCCTGAACTACTTTGTGCGCTCATGTGAACATATCATTATGGTTCCTCATGGCACTAAGCGGGAGTTGTTTTATATACTGAATAGATACGTAGGGACCGATCTTTGCTCCTGGATTCTAACATCGAGCATGTATAAGCGACACTTGCTGTGATATTTAACAAAAACTGCTTGCGCCCTAACCGGTTCTAGTCACTTTAGTCGGCAAGTCAAACCTTTGTTTCAGAAATATATTGGTCCATGTTGAGAACCAGGCCCTCTGTCCGCCTTCATATACTCTGTGATCAGATCCACATGCGCAAAAAAAGGAACAAACATAAAAATTTTCAACACTGGCACGCAAACAATTGCTGAAAACCCTCTGGGACACGGAAGCAAAGTTCTTGTGTACTCCCAAAGTGAATGTGATGTGACGTATCTATAAGCCCCACTCCACTCAGTCCTCTGCTCTACTACAGAGGGCATCAATTGATACAGTTTTGACACATGAAGCTCCACATGTACTGCATTTCCCAGCGTTTAGACTGGAAAGGTCCCCATGACTTTCAGTTCACACTGTCCTTCCGGGTGCTGCGATCTCCTGGGTTGTTGTGGTCGTGGTTCTTCCAGTGCAGACTTGCATGTCTGGAGGTGCCGTTCATAGGCATCACATTTATTAGAGACTGGCTTTCGCAACAACAGCACAAGCAGGACTGAAAGACACACACAAGACAATCCACGCGTTACAATGGCATCATTTCTAACCCTGGTAAACACTGATGAGTAAGAGGACAACCCAGGAACCACATTCAGCCCATCAAACCATCACCTCTCGCTGATCTATTACTTAACACAAGCTGATGACTATTAATAACAATAACATTTGACATAACGACATACTGTTTTTTCTGTAGAACTTCAGTGACTGCCGTTGGACCCATTATAATAACTGCATTTAAGACAAGCTCTTTCTCACAACGTATTTCAGAATGGATGTGTCCACAAATCACAAATGATACACTCTTTTGAAATTGCCTTATACTATATAGACATTTCATCTCTCAAGCCAGCTTTTTGTTCTTCACCTCCTTGCGTGGATTCGAACCCTCTTATCGTATCATCATCTTTCCCCATCCTCTGGCTCCCTCCCGCCTTCTCTCCCTCCCTCCATTCCCTTTAGTCTGGCATAGGTATGGACCAGGAAGACCGGTTGGGTGGTTTTGTTCTGAGCGCTGGGAACTGCAAGAGAATCCCACACTATGAGCCTAAATCTGTGAAGTTCTTACCTGGAAGCAGTTTTTAAATTTCTTGCTCACAAAGTACAGGGCGATGGGGTTTATACAGGAGTTCAGAGTCGCCAGATTGATGCTGACAAAGTCCAAGATCAGCAGGAAACTGCAGAGAAAGACACAGCAACAGTGATGGTGACTATCAGCATTAGCCCATTCATACCCCACTCCCTGGCACTCGCTCACTGGGAGAACAGACAACACATGTATTTGCCTTAACTCTATACTCCTCGGCAACTCTGAATTCCTCATGGATAATCATCAACAACAACAATTTGCACTTATACAGGGCTCTCCACGCAAGGAGTGTCTCAGACCACTTAACAATGGGGGAGCCTGACTCCAAGGGTGGGGAGGTGGGGGAAGGTGGCCGTAATCACATAGTCAGGTTCAGACAGAACTGAGGTACCTGCTCTCCGCCAGGGCACCAACAGCTGATGTGTGGCAAATGGACTCATTACCTCCTGAGTTGGGGAGGGAAACCCAATCAGGCTTCTGGCTCCTGGACTTATTCAGAAGGTGTGTGTGTGTGTGTGTGCACGTCAGGTTTAGACAGGATCAGACCCCGCCCCCCCCCAACAACCTGGACCTCCACCCCTGTAGGTTGAACAGGAGTTAACCACCTGGAGGATGGGAAGGGAGAAAATTGGTGTGAGAAAACTACATATTAAAAGAAACCCTGAATGTACTTGGATCTGAAGATAAACTTCACCAACTTTGGGAAATACCATCAACTTTATGGCCAAGAGATATCATCTACACTGAGGCCAGCAGATTTATAATATTGCTGTGGCCACAAGCACAACATGGAAATCTGCAGTCAGCTCCGCTGGTGTTACCTCCACACATGCTGGGAAGCTGTTGTGTGGGGACCGCAGTGGGGTGGGGGTGGGTGGCCAGGAGGAGGGGGGTTGAAAGAGTAAGGGCAGAATTATTATTCGCCATTAGAAATCCAAGTGAGTAGCCTCTGTATGCACACTGCTCTGCAGTCTGGCACACTAGCTCGCATGAGAGACAGCCTTAAAAATAGGCAGAGATGAAACCAGCTAATAAAACCCTGACCCGTCTGCACGCATTCATGTCTGTGGGTTTCTTTTTTAAGTAGAGAAAGAATTTTTAAAAATTCCAACCCCAATGGGGGAGGACTCCAGCAAACAACCCACGTCCTCCCACACACAACTTGCACTGCGTCAGCTGAGGTTCGATGTCCCCCCCACCCTCAGCTTACAATGTTTGCACAGATCTTTTTGGATTCAATAGGCAGACATGAACGGTGGGCTCTCCCAATTGATCTATGGACAAAGCCATGTTCCTTTGTAAAACTGAACTACATACAGATGGAAAGTCTCAGGTTTGATCCCCTATTAGTGCTGAGTTAGTGGAGTGGAACTACAGTAGTGGAATCCTGTAGCGTATTGGATAGAGCACTCGCCTAGCAAGCGAGAGGACCCGGCTTCAATTCCTGGACAGAGCAAAACCTTAGGCAAGTTTCCGTAATCCACACGCCTCTGTTTACCTAACAGTAAGTAGGAACCCGTTTGTTAGTCGATTGGTGGATCGCTTTCTAAGGGTAATAATCCCTTTTTTTAAAAAAAAATTGGTCACTCAATTGTGACTATTTTTGGGACATTGCTATGTGCAATTGGCTGCCTCGTTTCACCCACAAAATATACAGTCAATTTACTTATCAGTGCCTCTGCGCTATAGCGTGGGGAGGGCGGGAATTTAGTCAGGGTTCCTTTCCCGATCACTGTCCAGTGAACCCCTCCTCACCCACCCAGCATAGATTCTTCTAAAGTGGAATTAGATAGATGCTTGAAGAGGAAGAAGATACAGGGTATGTATGAGAAGTGAACAGGAGAGAGTGGGATTAGATTAGCCCACGTGGGGTGGGAGGGGTGACCTCAGTGAAGAACTGATGGACTGAATGTGCTGTAACATTCCTGTATTGATTTTACATTTTGTAATCCCAGCTCTGGCTGAATTGCTTGATGCAGAGAACAATGTGATGATACTTGTTGCACTCATGTACCTGAGGAGGTCACATCTTTTGTCATCAAGTTCGTTGTACACAGTTTTCTTTAACAGCCTTGCAAGGTGGAGCGGAAACCAGCACAGAGCAAAGATCACAACCAGAAAGAAAACTGTTTTGGCTACCTCACGACGCTGCAAAAAAAAACAGACATCAGAATTGATAGACTGGTTACAATCCCAGACAAGCATATATGAGGCCTGGCAGTCTGTACCACCATTTTGTCTGAAAACTGAACATTGTGGAAAATTCCACAGTTCAGCCTTAATTTGAAAAACGGTTTTCCTTAGTCCTTAAAAATAAATTAAACTTTCCAAAATTAAGGATTTTAATAGAAAATTTTTCCACAGTTCTGCCTTCTGCCTTAAATTATAAGATAAAGTGGCCTTAGAGGCCAAGCACACAGAAAAGAAGACGAGTGTCATATTATGATTAAAGTTCATGTTTTACTCGTCACTGCATTCTTTGGATGAGACGTTTAAACCAAAGTGCTGTCTACCTGTTTAGATGGACATTAAAGGTACCATGGTACTATTCAAAAAGAGAAGGGAGTTTCTCCCCATGTCCTGACCAAGAATACCCCATAAAAAAATGTTCATTAACTTTGTAGCTGCTTGTGGGACATTACTGGGTACAGTGTTTACCCACAAAACACACATTTACACGACTTTATAGTATATCCTGTGAGCCCTTTAATACGTCCTCCACGCATAAAAGGCGCTGTACAAATGTAAGGATCATTTCAATGTGTCTAAATAGGAGGCTTTACTGACCATGATCTAACAACAACAACAAAATTACATTTGTATAGCGCTTTTCAACTAACAGCAAGTAATCTCAGAATTGGAATGGAAACAGTGAAAGAGTTTCATCCAATATTAGCAGGACAAAAGTACAGGAGTGCAATATAATATACAATGTATAGAAACACACAGTCACCACACTTTGCAGTAAAATCCTGTGAAGCAATTTGAGATGCCTTGACAACTTGATAAGGTGCTATATCAAATGTCAGGATTATTATTTTTATTGTTATATTATACATAAATAAATATCAATAAAAATAAAGGAAGGTGCAAAAAAGGATTTGAAAACTCCACAAAGGGACAGTTAAACAGGACAGGTTGTGAGACTGTAACCTCAGTCACCTGGTATTTTATTATTTAAATTCTGAGTTGCTCACTTGTACTTAAAAATACTAATCATTGCATTTGAGATAGATCACCTTATCTCGTCTTTGAGACGTCTCAAAGCGCTTCACAGAATATATTGTAAAGGGGATTGACTGTGTATTTTGTGGGTGAAACACGGCAACCAAATGCGCTATAAATTTTGATAATTTCCCAGATCAGTTCACTTGTACTTTCCCTGATTGATTTGCTGTACTTTTTCCGACCATACTTTTACCTAATTGGTCAGTCGGTCCTTGCCCCGTTCCTTCATTATTCTACTTTTACTTCCCTATTCTCTCTTTGTCCTTTTTTGCATTTCAAGTCTTCTCTTAAACTATTTCCTACTAAGTGTGAAATAACTTCTCACATTTTACCCCTGAAACATATTACTTACTCAGTGGCAGTAGAGGTTCTCTCTGAATTGACTGGAAGTTGGATTCCCAGCTAATCTGGCGCTTGTGAATCTCAGAAAGGAAGCTTTAATATAATATTTCATTTTGAACACATGTATTTCTCACGATTTATTGTTCACAAGCGTACTCAATTAGATACACATGATTTCCAATGTGGCTAGTCAGTAACTTGGATTGCAGCCAGACTTTAAAGTCAATCCAGCAATTCTTTTCCCAGAATGAATCATGAATGTTTACCATCCAGTTGTCGGGTGCTCGATGGGATTTTGCCGAACAAATTCAACTTTTATTCTTATTTGTGCAACTTGTGAGCTACCACAGTGGAATGATTCTGTGGCCTCATATCCTGTGGGATAGGCTTGCGGCTGCATTGAGCTTGCACTGAGCTTGCTGAGGAGCCTAGGTAACAACAACAACAGCGGATTGCACACGGGGCAACATCTCAGTGTGCTTAACAGTGGTGGAGCCTGATGCTGAGCCGGGGTAGGGAGGCGGTCACGTCAGCACGGTCGAAGAGAAAGGTCTTCAGGTGACTCAAAGCGCTTGACAGGATACATTCTGAAGTGATGCCACTGTGTGTATTCTATGGGCGAACGTGGCAGCCAATGTGAATACAGCAATACCACACAAGCAGCTTTGAAATGAACGACCAATTCTATTGGGGGGATTTGTTGGCCAGGAATTGTAATATCCTATCATATTGATTAAAGGATTCATCAAGGATTCTTTCCTTCCTTCCTCTAGGCCTCCCACTCTACATTGCTATATTGTTGAGGAAACCACAGCTTAACTCCCTGCAGTGTAACTGCAGCATTCACCCACAAAACACACAGCAACAACAACAAATTACATTGGAATAGCACCTTTCACTGGAGCCCGCTGAGTGGAGGGAACTATATGGAGTTAGCACGTTGCTGAGGTAGGGAGGTGCAAGGCTGTAGAGGGCTTTGAAGGCGAGGACAAGGATTTTGAACTCTATCCTCTAGGGATGCGGGGCCAGTGGAGCCGGGCGAGAATGGGGGCGAGAGGGTCATGGAACTTGGTATGGGACAGGGAAGACCGACTCCACTTTACAATATCCACTATGGGATGTACCCCTGATGTGAAAAGTACTATATCAAATGCAAGGATTATTATTGATGGCTCAATTCACTTTATGGTGAGGGTCATCTGTCACAAGATGTTTCACTGCATATATGGGAATGGGAAATAAACAAGATCTGAATGGTGCACTAACTCCACATTGATCAGAATGGGACAATTATGAAACATCTGGACAGACAAGGATAACTTCAGACTCGGAAACAGTGTTACAGATAGATCATCCACCCTTGTTAAACCATACTTAGCCGAAAGATTCTACCTGTTTCAAATGTTCACTCAGAGCGATTTTCATGCCGTTGTTCCTCTTGTTCAACATCTCACAGGTCATCAGAGTGTAGAAGAAGGCAGTGCAAGCCAACGGCATACAGAAATAAAACACAAACAGCCACCAATCCTTCACAACGATGTAGAACTGAAATAAAACAATCACATTCTCACATACACTTCACAACAACAACAATAATAACAGTTTACATTTATATAGCACACTTTACCTTTTGACACTGCTGCATGCAAATTGCCTGCTGCAGTTCACGTACAAAATATATAGTCACTACACTTTATAGTAAATCCCATCAAGCGCTTTGAGATGTCCCCCCGATGTTAAAGGCGCCTTATCAAATGTAAGGATTATTACTCACTTAGAATAAGTCCCATTTCCTATTTCCCACACTAGCCATTTCCAGGGAGAAATTCTACCTTGGTCTAGATTACAACAACAACTTGGATTTATATTGCGCCCTCCACGCCGGACGGTGTCTCAGAGCGCTTCACAGTAATGGATGTTGGGGCCGAGCCAGGGGGACGGAGAGGGGGAGGAAGGTGACCAAAGGCGCGGTCGAAAAGAAAGGTCTTCAGCCGAGACTGAGAAATAGGAAGAGAGAAGGTGAGGCGAAGAGAGTGAGGGAGGGAGTTCCAGAGCCTCGGGGCGTAGTGGCTGAAGGGACAGCCGCCGATGGTGGATTGGAGGATTCGGGGGACAAGGAGGAGGCCAGACCCGGTGGAGCGAAGGCAACGGGCACTGTTGTGAGGAGAGAGGAGGTCAGAGAGGTAGAGGGAGTGCGGAGGAGTGAAGGGATTTGAAGACAAGATTGAGGATCTTGAAATCAAATTAGAATGTGCAGAATTTGGCAGTATGCTGAATTCATTCTTAACTTTGAAGTTGTTTTTCTGCAGTTCTTAAAACAACTTACAAAAAATTAGCTTCAAGATTAGCATCCAATGTCCTCTCCCGCACTAATCTCCGCAACCCTCGCACTCTCATCCTTTCCATGCTCCATTGATTCCCCTTCCCCTGATACAGGGGTCTCCAATCATTTGATTGCCGCTTGATGGTGACTCGTGCATGTTCAGTAAAAACAAGAGGAAGGAGCGATATTTACTGGAATTTAAACAATAAAGTGTGTATTTTTATTTCCAGATGTATGAAATACTTTGTGCAGCTGGCTTTATTTTCAATTAGACTAAATAATCACACAGTTCTATTGCTCTTTCCCCTTGTCTTTTTGATAATGCTCGACAGCGCCACATAGCAGCAATCGAAGGGTTGGAGACCCCCTCCCCCAGCGAATCGAGTTCGAGAGCCTCGTCCCTCCATGGTCTTGCATCACCCTAACACAGCAACCTCCTCAAACCGTACTGACCTGACTGTTCCCTTTGCTCAGAGGGCACTAGCCTGCTTTATTTACCCTGTCTTATCTGCCTCACCATCGTTGGTCAGGCTTTCAGCCTATCTGTCCCAAATCTATCTATCCTGAAACAAAACACAAAATACTGCAGATGCTGGAAATCTGAAAACAAACAACAACAACAAAATCACATTATAGAGTGCCTTTCATGTCGGGAGGGCCAATCGACTAATAACTGGATTCCTACTGACTGCTATGTAAACAGAGGCATGTGGAGTAAAAAAACTTTCCTAAGGTTTCGCCCTGCCCGGGAATCGAACCTGGGTCCTTTTGTTTGCGAGATGAGTGTCCTAACTACTAAGCTACAAGACTCCACATTCTTCCAGCCAAGAGGATGGGCACTTGGTGCAGCTCCAACTTTGAAGGGCATGAGAGAGACTGAATGACGTCTCCTTCTTCATGTAGATACCAGCTAATCTCCACTGAAACGAAAATATCAGCAGTGTGCAACGGAAAAATAAATCTCAGGTTGTTGCAATGTGGAAAGTGGGATATGAGTGGTAACAGATGTGCAGACCAGTCTTAATACGTGAGAAGTCATTGGAATCATTGAAGCAGCCCTTCGAAGTCAGTGTAAATCAGGCCTGACTCAGACAGTACAGTATTTATATTGGTCTGAACTGAGCACTTTTACATGCACTGGACATGAGCTGGAAAGTACTGATAATGGATATGAACCGGAGTGTGCAATTCTTGTTGTAGCAAATCCAAAGCAGCAGGGACAGTTTAACATTCAGTGTAAACACATGAGGAATCCTATTCCAACACAATTTTACTTTAATGAAAATGTGTATTCTGGAAACCTTCCCGAATAATTTTGTCTTCCTGAGACCGAAATGCATTGTTTCAATTTGTCAGGCTACTAGAAGACAACTGTAATGAGGCAGAACTCAGAGATTTTAATGCTCAACAGATCCCCAAGTCTTTTAGCTGTCGTACAGAATTGGTGTTAACTATCACATTGTGTACACTCTGCTCTGTCATTGACTAATGACATCAACCAGACCGGTCGGCAGATATGATTTTCTCCTGAAGGTTGGCCAACAAAACACACAGTCACTACACTTTACAGTACATCCTGTGAAGCTCTGTGACTTGAAAAGCTCTACACTAAATAACAGAAAAAAATAAATAAAATAATAACGGTACTAAAAGACCGGGCATGGAATGGGCAAAATAACAACAAAATAATAATAAATACTGGCTATGGGGCAGTCAGGTACAGAATCGCTGCTACAGTGCACAGTGAGTTTCTGATCTCAGTCAGGTTGTTCACAAGGGTACGCAGTGAAACCCTCTGAGTGCTCATCCAGAGCGAGGGAAATATTGCAAGACATATTCCCTGGACCACTTTCACACATCAGCCATTGGCTAGGAATGGACTATGACTCTTCTCTCTCTCACTACATAGCCTGGCTCAGTTACTAGCACTCTAACCTCAGAGTCAGAAGGTTGTGGGTTCCAGCTCCCACCTTAGGACTTTGAACTCACAGTCTAGGCTTTGAGCACTGTACAAAATTACACTTGTAACGTGCCTTTCACGTTGGGAGGATGTTCCAAGGCGCTGAACAGTCAGGGATTAGGACCCGAGCGGCGTGGGGCGGTGGGGCAGTTGGGGCTGTACTACATTATATCATATGCAAGGATTTTTTTTTACATTTGCATTGAAAGCACATAGAAGGTTACTTGAACACCATTTTCCTTGCAAAGGCAGGCTTAATAGATAAACCTGTTTATTGAATATCCTCTCTTTATCATCCAAAGACCAGTTTGAAGCCGGGCACAGCAAGTCGGATCTGTGACTAACTGAGAGTAAAGGTCTTCCACTGTTTCAGAGGCAAAGGCAAAACAAGTGCATTTACCCACGTCTAGTTCGCGAGTCTTACCTTGTTAAACGCTGTATTCGGGAGGACGAGGCACACGTTGTACGTTTCGTTCTGGTAAGACAGCGTATGTAAATCAAAAGCAACAGCCTCGGGGACAGCTAGAGTTACAGACAGCATCCAGATTCCAAAGATCTCCAAGGCTGTCACCAGAGGGATTCCGATTCCCTGAACCCGACTCCAGGACACCACAGCTCGATACCTACATTGCAAACAACAGGACGTTCAGTCACCTTTAGTCTACTGTTTTTTTAAATATTTTGAGATTTGCTTATTGCTGACTGCAAGTGGGTCAATCTTACATTATACTTACTTTAAATAAATTCCTTAAAGTTAAACTATTTACAATTTGCTGTGGTTCTACTGGACCTTTGGTGATGATTTGATGGCAAAAGTGCAGTAAAAACCAGAGGTTGAAGCAGCACAGTGATGCCAGAGCTCTGCCCTTGCACCAGCTGGAGAGGGCAGTTCTCTCTTGCTGATGTCTATACACAGTACCCAGTGGGCAAGGCTCATTCACTCTGCTTCACTCAAAGGTCTCCGATCAGTAACTTTGAACGCAGCAATTTGAATTGTTCATTGCACAAAAATGAACTCCAGTTTTCACTATTTTGTGTTCGTGCCAAGGTTGAGGAGTTGAAGGGGTTGGGGCAAAACTGAAAATAATATGGAGTGGTAGCTGTAAATCAGGCTTCTAACACCCCTCTCCGGCCCTCCGCTCCCCCCCCACCCCCCACCACGCCAGCAGAAAAATGACTTGATTTACTCCCAGCAATGTAGTTTAGCTGTAAGATGGGCCTCTAACCACATTCTTGAGCCTGTAATATCCTTAGTGTTAAATTCTTCTGTGAGAAAATAATATCTCGGGATACAATATATAGTTTGGGACATGGCATGTCAAGTGACTGCCAGGAAGGTGCAAGGCGAACTGGATGGACCTTGGTCTTCTTTCACCTAGCAAATTCTTATGTTCTTAGTCCTAAAACTGGAGATCGGATAGGATTATAAACTCCCTTTACTAAATTCAGCCACACAGAGTCTTAATTTGGAAGCTTGTTTTCTGTGGTTCTTGGGAATAACTAGCTTCCAAATTGAGACTGAACTGAAGAATTTTCCACTATTCTTTACTAGAGGCTTTGGGGCTTTGTTTGTCTGCTGCTGGATGGCAAGTAATGCGTGGAACTTGCTTAGAAACGGAGAACAGCAAAATGGTCTAGCTTCCTGCTTGGCACCCTGTAACAATGCCAAACCCCTCACAATCATGGCGGACGGGTGGGGGGGTCAAAGCACTCAGAGGGTCCAGCCCCCTCATTAATCATTGAACACCCAAATGATATGCAAAACTATCCTATATTCACTGAATTTGAACTCTTTAACTTGCTTCTTTCTACTCTACCAAACTCTACTTGTTTTAAAAAAGCAAACTAATTGTGTGGGCAATGATTTGCAAGGTAAGCTTCTTGTGGTCACGAGGCAGACAAATGAATAATAAATTCTTTTTGAATGACATTGAAATGATGTTTACACAACATGCCTCTGATCTTTCAAGCTCAGTGTTTTATGCCTTCACTGGTTCATTCCTGGAATTTAGATTTAAGATTAGACGGGAGAGGAATGAAACAGTTCGAATTTCCAAGATCAGCTATAAATTATATCAACTTCCAAGATGCACAACCTCAATTACAAACACCTTCGCACCCTAGCATTGCCCTTCTTCTCTGACCTGCTCGTACCCTCCTTCTCTACCCGTCCCTTCGTTCGGCTAACACAGTCATCCTGGGCATCCCCTAACCCCTCTGCTCCACCATTAATAGCTGCACCTTCACCAACCAATCTCTGGAACTTGCTGCCTCAATCTCTGAACCTCACCCCTTCTTTATCTATCTTTAAATTGCACCCGAAGACATCTCTTTGACCGTGCTTATGGTTATCTCCCCATCCCCCTTCTCCCTTGGTCGGACTCACTGGGCAGCACTCCGAGATTCCACCTTGCGTGAAGGGTGCTGTATAAATACAAGTTAATGTTATAGTCTCTCCCAACATGCCCTTCCAGCTCTATTTGCTGACTGTTCTTGTACTTTTGTGTCCAGCATATATGAAATCACAGTTATTGCTGATTCTTTATTTGTCTTTATTTTTATATTATCTTTCCTGTAAAATCTTCTGAGCAACACAAAGTCAGTGAACGGATCTGCCTCATAGGACATCACGAACACACAACCACCGACATCCAAACTATGAGCTGCTGCTAGCAAAATAATACCCCTTGAAACTCTGGAAAATCCTTACAACGTAAATTGTTAAACAAAACAGCTGCCTGGTGTGTTTTAAACTATCAATATAACTTTGGGGATTGAATAGGAACGTATGAACAGAAGCAGGCTATCCAATCGATCGAGCCTGTTGTACTAGTTTATTAGATCATGGCAGATCTTTTCATCCCATTTCCCTGTTTCCCCATATGAATGAATACCCAAATGTACTTCCCAAATATCTATCTGGCTCTTTTTTAACCATCTAATTGATTTTGCGTCTTCGGCCTTCTGGGGGCAGCAGATTCCACATTTTACAACTCTCCGTGTAATAATTATAAATCACTCAAGCTTTTCTTTGAATTATTGTGGTCATCTAAACCCTTTGATTTTGATTGCTCATTCCTATTCTCCCAATATTCCCATCCATCTCTATTGATTGATTATGTTTTGTACTTGTGTATACAAAATGTATGAAATCACAGTTGGTTGTTCACTCCTTATTTAGCAGTAATATTTTGTCTGTACTATCACTGAACACAGAGTTCCCAGATCACTATCAGACTTTTGTTGTACGCTGTATGGAAGTTAAAATTTTCCTTTATCTTCTTGGTGAGCTTTCTGTATATTTTCCTGTACCCACATTTGAGACAGCACCAAAGAGCCAGACGGAGTGTAAGGAGAGGGTTAGGATTCTTTGTGTATCAATCGCTCAGTTTTAATGCTGAACATCATGAACAAGTGGAAGGTTTATCTTAACCTCTGAATAAGCAGAACATTGGTAGGAATAGCAAAAACAACAATAAAGTATTAAACAATGTACGTTCTGGTTTACATCATCTAGTTTATGATGATCATTATAATATTAGTAGCTCCTTTCAAAGCAGCATTGATTTTATACTCTTAAATATTTGGTTAAAAAGATAAAGACTTTTATACTGTGACCTGGTTTGCACTGACTTGTTTTTATAAGAATATCAAACACAACGGGAACAAAGGAACAGGAGAAAACCATTCAGACTGCTGTGCCTGTTACACGCTTTATTAGATAATAATAATAATCCTTGCTTTTGTTATAATGCCTCATGTCATTGAAATGTCTCAAAACGATTCACAGAATACATTGTAAATTGGATTGACTGTGTATTTTGTGGGCGAAACGAGGCAGTTAGTTGCGCACAGCAATGTTCCACAAACAGTTGTGCATTGAGTGACAACATTTTTTTTTTGGTGGGATTATTATCTCGTTGATGAAAGTGATCCACGAATCGATTAACAACCAGGTTCCTAGGTAAACAGAGGCATGTGGAGTAAGGAAACTTGCCTAGGCTTTCACCCCACCCGGTCATCTATCCCACGTCCTCTCGCTATGCAAGGGCACTAACCACTACACTATGGGACTCCACAGATCATCATTCATCCTATTTATATGCCTTAATACCTTTACTTTCCAAGTATCTGTTTGTTTTCATTTTAAATATTCTAATCGTTTTTGTGTCTCTGACTTCTGGACAGTACACATTTTCACAATCCTCTGTCTGAAGGAATGGCCTGTTTCTGTGTTGTACAATCAATGTAAATGTTTTCTAATCTCACTTCTAACCACCTCAGGTCTACCTTTCATGCATTCTTTCAGATCTCCCTACCGGAGGGAAGAGTTGGTCCCGACCTAGCTTGTCAATTCCTTTCATTATTTTAAACATCGCAGTGAAATCACTCCTTACCTCCTCAACTCTAGGAAATGCCATATTAACCACATTCATTCACCCATCAAAGCTAAACTCCTTAATTCCAGACATTATTCTGTTGAACAGATCCTGGACACCCTCCAAGGCTAGTACTCTTGATCCTAACTTTGCTTTGGCGCCTCAAACTGAACATAATATTCCAAATGAGGTCTAACCATTCTATATAACAGCAACAATACTTCCTTGTTTATGTGTTCCAGAGCTCTTGTTATAAAGACATGAATGGCTTTAACCTTTCTGCTCCTGTGAACTATAATAAAAATATTGATAATAATAATCCTTGCATTTGATAATAGTGCCTTATCACGCATTTGAGACGCCTCAAAGCACTTCACAGAATATACTGTAAAATGATTTGACTTTTTTTTTAAACTAGCTTTTAAAGACTTAAGAACTTGAAAACCTAAATCCCTTTGTTCATCTATCCCTCTACTGTTTCTCCATTTGAAATGTATTTCTGTTCACAATTAATTTGTATGAGGCATATGATTTTACCCTTTGCTACATTAAACTCTATCTGCCATTAGCTCCCCCAAACTTGCTTTATCTATCCATGCCTCTACAATTTTCTGCTATCTTCTTCATAATTTATGACACCTCTAAGTTTTGGAGCTGTTGAAATGAGTTGGCAAGTTACTCACACGCTTATACTACACAATTATTGCTGAGGAGTGACTTCCCTGTTTATGTATTCCAAAGCCCTGTTTATACCACATTTACATTCTGTATGTAGTATGAAATGCACACACTTTGTGCTGATTCACCAGTTCAAGGATTAATAGTGTAGACAGACAGAAGGATCAAAATAAACAAGCTTCAGCTCCAGTATAGAAAACCCTCGTAACACATAGCTGTGTTGGAGCAATAATAATGTTTATTCAAATGCCCCAAATTGCATGATTCTTAATCATTCATCACAGGTCTTTAAGTCATCCGTTTTTCAAATTGAATAAACTGTATATTCACAAAGTATTCACACTTCATACAGGTGATTTCTTTCTTTTCCTCTGTTCACAGTTTTAGAACATTATTTGTGTTCTTTTGAGTTAGATCATTTAATCCGTTGGCTTAATACTGCATTGACGTTTTATCTCATACTTTCTGCTATGCTTTCTCTTTGTGTTCTTTCACACCAGCTCTGACTGACTGAGCACCAGTATCTCTCCTAAACAGTGCAGCAAAAATAGCTGCTGAGATTCTGTGAAATTGTAAATATCAATGTTTCAGAGTTGGTTCCAGGATACTTGCTTAACTCAAACAGTGATAACTGTCACACCACATGATGCACTTTCACACCATGATTGTTAAAGATTTTAAAAAAAGGTTGGTTAGAATTTGCTTTTGTGTGCGCGTGTCTGTATGGGCAGGGCATAGTTAAAATGGGTTTAACTTGGTGAATTCTGCCCTATTGCAGGGTAAGCTTCCTTCAAGGCTGTTGCAATCATGTATACCTGTACTCCAACTTCAAAACATGTTTTCTCTTTAACATTCTGCCTATAATAAACCAGTCATCATTGTGCCTCTCTGAGCGGAAAAAACAGGTATCAAGTCATGGGCAGTTTCAGGTTTCGAATTGTATCTACTAGAAGCTGAGTAGATACTCACAAAACATTAGAAATCTTAGGTCTTGGGACTTTTACAGCTGTAAGAGGTGACTGTTATCCCATCCACTGTCTGACTTCACACCCAACTAGCTGGGGCAATGGGAATATCCTAGTCCACTTTATCACCCAAGAGCCTGATTTTAATATGCCTGTTTTTTGGGAAAATGCTTATAGATGGTTGGCACATCATCATTCACATCATACACTGATTTTAAAAAATCTTGCTTTCATTAACGTATTTTGAAAACACAAACATATCATTTCATTTGCCACGATAAAGAGAGAGATTAAAATGCAATGAATTACAGACATTGATTTTAAACTGAGTTTTCTTAAAATACGTGCAAAGCGAGAACATTAATAGCCTTCAGAAAAGAGGCAAGATCCAATTTAATACAAAACCACTTCACTTCAGTTCACAGTGGAGTGAAACTCAATAAAACTAAAAGAACACACTAGTTTATACATGTTAACTATGAAATGGCAGAAGCTTTATAATAGAAGAAGTATTGGTTTAACAGACTATTTGTCAGTGTCCAATTTGTTTGGAGGTGAAAATTACATGAGTAATTCATGTCTTTATAAGTCACTATTATTGATCTAAAAAAAAACCTGGCAGTATTGAATCTAGAATTCAGAAAGGGTATTATTTTTATACTGCACCTGGAAACAAGGGCCAGGAACATGCTGTACAGCATCAAAACAGTCCCCAAATTGCACAACATGCTAGCGTACCAATGCTTGGAATCCATGTGGGAAGAACTGCGTGACATTTCAATGACAGAGAATGTGTGAGTGTCTAAGGGATGAAGGAAACAAGGTGTTACCTGTCCACACTGAGGGCACAGAGGTTCAGGACAGTGATCCCCACCGAGGTTTTCTGCAAGAAAGGTACCAGCTTGCATACAAAAATTCCAAAAGGCCACTCTGGAGCCAAAAGCTGGAGGAGAGGAATGTTTGTCGGGGAAAAAGAAAGAAAAAACTGTTAATCTCTCTCAATTAATTAGAAGAGCAAAATATATTACTATGCACAAAAAAAAGATGGTAGAAGTGAAAATAAATGGAGAGTGCACTTAAACAAAACAACATTAACTGAAATGGCAAGAGTTGGTAAACTTTGTGAGAGACCGTGGTATTGTAATAGACACAAGAACATCCGAGGCAAAGCCACAAAAAGCCTCGTACAACTAAACAAGAAAATCTATGTCGAAATCAAAGTAAAAAACATTGAAGACCACCCACATACATGAAAATTTTCAGGCTAGACACAGCAGTTTGCCTCGACAGACTGTACACAGCAGCGTCCCACAAACAGTCGTGGATTAAGTGACCAAATTATTATTATTATTTTTTAAATACATTTTGAAGGGATTATTACCCCCAGAAAAACAAGCCGCCAATCGACTGACAACCGGATAACCGGATTCCAACTTACTGCTAGGAAAACAGAGGAGTGTGGAGTAAGGAAACTTGCCCAACGTTTCGTCCTGCCCGGGAATTGAACCCAGGTCCTCTTGCTTGCTACAGGACTCCACATTTGAAAGAATATTGCAATGATTAGGTCACAAGGTATTTTATTTATTTTAAAAAACAGATGTCATTACAAAACCGTAAAAAATACACCATTAGGGCAGAAAAGAGAAAAAGTTGCGTGCATGTATGTGTGTGTTAATTAGATAATGTACAGAAGGATGATTATAAAATAAAGGCATGATGGCAAAAGGAGAGAGACACACCGACGAAAGAAAATAGACAGAAAAGAGAAGTTTCGAGAAATATAAAAACATATACATTGAGAGAAAGACAACACAGAACAACAAATTACATTTGTATAGCTCCTTTCACGTCGGGAGGACGTCCCAAAGCGCTGAAAATGGACACAATTGAAGGAAAGAATCGGGGAAGGCCAACAGCAGAACAAAGAGAAATATATCAAAATGACTGATACGAATTCTAGAAAGGTGTGGGGTGATTTGTGAGGGGCTGCTCCGTGTGTCAATCTGGCAGAGGTGAGGAACAATACAAGATCTATTGGGAGAGGAACGAATGGGACAGGTAGAGAAAAGGTGAGGAAATTGCAAACATGAGAGAAGGAAGGAATTATTTTGGTCAGACGGGTATCTTTTACAGAAACCTTTCACCAAACCAGATTGAGAGTTCACATATGTATGCCACTGACATGTGGAATTTTCCCTGTGTCTGGAAAGGAGGTGCACTGTGGCTGTGACGGAATGCATCCTGCTTACCAAATTCTGGAGAGTATTAGGCACAGGTTTGCAAGGGCCAAGGCTTGGGGACCCCAGAGTTTGCATTGGGGTACCCCTGGAGTTCAAATAGCCCAAACCACAACTTTCTATGCAAGCCCTATCTGGCAAGCTTCCCGTTACTTGTTGGCAAGGAAGAAAAATACAAAAGTTGAATTACCAAGAATAGCAAGAGTAGGTCACTGGAAGGCAACAGGTGTTAGAACTGGAAATGAAGAGGTTCAAAGAAAGGACAGAAACAACTGAGTGTGACAGAAGGTGAGAGAAGAAGACAGAAAACAGCTGAGGACAAATAGGTGAGAGCTGGAAAAGAGTTAAGAGTGAGGAAGACAAGCGGAGTGAGTGCAGGAGAGGGAAGTGGCGGCAGAACTAGGTTGGAGTCCTGTAGCTCAGTGGTGAGAGCATTCGCGTCGTAAGTGAGAGACCTGGGTTTGATTCCCGGCAGGGCGAAACCTTGGGCAAGTTTCCTTACTCTATGTGCCTGAGAATAATCCCTCAAGAAAAAAAAACAATAATAAAATTGGTCACTTCAATCCACGACTGTTTGTGGGACACTGCTGTGTGCAATTGGCTGCCGCGTTTCGCCCACAAATACAGTCAATTCACTTTACAGTGTATTCTATGAAACGCTTTGAGACGTCTTCAAGGATGTGATAGGGGGCTGTATGAAATACAAAGATTATTATTATTATTATTATTATTATAATAGCACAAGCAGAGTTAGTAGGGCGAGGAAGACAGTGAGAGAATAGAAAGCAGTGGAAGACATCCAGAGGGAAAGGGAATATCTTCGAGTACCTTGAAGACATGGATCGGGATGTCGATGGCGATGTAGAGCAGATCCCCCAGGGCCAGACTCCCGATCAGCATGTTGGGGCCATTCCTCATGCACTTGTTCTTGTAGATAATCCTCAGGAGGGTCACATTCCCAATCACCCCGACCACGAAAATAACACAAGCGAGCACCGTGTTAATGTACTTGAAGGTGGTGTTGTTTGTGGGTCGCGACTTGCATTGGGGGGGTGTAGAATTGGTCGTGGCGTTTAGGCCTAGTTCGTTCAGCTTGCACGGCACGGGCGAGGACGCGGAGGAATTATAAACGCAAGTCGTCGTTGCTGTCGTCGTGGTCGTGGTCGTCGATGATGCTGATAACGATGATGATGATGATGATGATAATGATGATGTCGAATTGAATAAATACATCGCCTGCGTGCCCGGCTGAGGTGATCCCTGGCTGGTGGCATTGCCGCCTCGGATGGAGTAGCCCTGCGTTGCGTTGTGACAGAGCCCGAAGCTGACAGACGACAGAAACACCCAGCACCGGGCGACGGTGGCCGCGGAGCTGGTGGAAGAAGCGCGTGTCATCTCCTTCGCTCCAAGATCCCACCGAGAGGACAGGAACAACTGAGTGGAGTGGAGTGGAGTGAGCGAATGAGTGAGTGGAGTGGAGTGGAGTGGAGTGAGGGGGGTGTGGAAAGGTTAAAAAAAAAACAAAGCGAGGGCAATGCAAGGATAATTCTTTTTGATATAAAAATAAAAATAACCTGTAAAAATAAAAGGGAAAAGGATATAAAAAAAAGGGGGATGAGGGTGGGGTGGAGGGGGGATGAGGGGGGATGAGGGTGGGGTGGAGGGGGGGAGGGAGGGGGGGGGTGGGTTGGGGTGGTGTTGGGTGGGGAGGAGAGACACTAACTAAACTTTAAAGGGCTGTGTGTGTGGGTGTGTGGAAAAAAAATCCCAAACCAATTTGAGAGCACAAACAAAATCCCAACGAAAGTTGCAGCGACTTCTTCTGCGGAGGCGACAGCGAGTGCACCAACAACACACAGACACAGAGACTTCGTGCACCGGGCAACAAAAACTAAAAGGGTGGGGGATACTTGCCAAAGCGAAAAAGGGAGCTGTGTCGCCTCTCTCCTGACTTCACACCCCCCACTGCCCACTCCACTGCCCGGCAATGAAGAGCGGCAGTAGCTGTGAGTGAGGTGGTGCTGCGGCGCTGGTGAGTGAGGTCCGTGTCCTTTGGTCGCTGCTGCTATTGCTGCTCTTGTTGCTCTTGCTATTGCTGCTGCTCTTGTTGCTGTTGCTCTTGTTGCTCTTGCTATTGCTGCTCTTGTTGCTCTTGCTATTGCTGCTCTTGCTATTGCTGCTCTTGTTGCTCTTGCTATTGCTGCTCTTGTTGCTCTTGCTGCTGCTCTTGTTGCTCTTGCTATTGCTGCTCTTGCTATTGCTGCTCTTGTTGCTCTTGCTATTGCTGCTCTTGTTGCTCTTGCTGCTGCTCTTGTTGCTCTTGCTATTGCTGGTCTTGTTGCTCTTGCTCTTGTTGCTCTTGCTATTGCTGCTCTTGTTGCTCTTGCTGCTGCTCTTGTTGCTCTTGCTATTGCTGCTCTTGCTATTGCTGCTCTTGTTGCTCTTGCTATTGCTGCTCTTGTTGCTCTTGCTATTGCTGCTCTTGTTGCTCTTGCTGTTGCTCTTGTTGCTCTTGCTGATGCTCTTGTTGCTCTTGCTGATGCTCTTGTTGCTCTTGCTGCTGCTCTTGTTGCTCTTGCTATTGCTCTTGTTGCTCTTGCTGATGCTCTTGCTGCTGTCGCTGCTGCTGCTGCTGCTGTCTTGCGAGGATGTGGAGCCGCAGTCAGCCTGCGAGCCCGTCTGTGCAACTCCTTCTCCTCCTCCTCCTCCTCCTCTCCTCCTCCACACAGCCAGACTCCCAGCCCAGCCCACCAGCCATCCCTCTGGGAATGGGAGGGGATGGCTGTCACTGCCTGACTGACTGCCTGACTCTGGCTGCAGCAGCTTGTGGCTCACGTTAAAGGGGTTAAACATCTACCCGTTAAAAGTCTCCAGAAATGACTTTAATCCCTTCAAAAACAAAAACAATAATAAATTGGTCATTTTCAATCCACGACTGTTTGTGGGACACTGCTGTGCGCGTTCGCCCACAATTATACAGTCAATTCACTTTATAGTGTGTTCTGTGATGCGCTTTGGGACGTCCTCCCGACGTGAAAAGCGCTATATCAAATGCAAGGCTTATTATTATTATATTATTATTATTAAATATTATTATTTTGAACGAACAAGGGAGGAAATTTGCCACAAACCACAAATAAGTGGACAAAGGATGTGGGCTCATGTTTGTTCTCAAGGAAGTAGCTCTGTGACTTACGTTGCGTTATTGCATTTTGACCTCAAGAGACGGAGAGGGAGATATGCACAATAATGTATAATAATAATCCTTGCATTTGATGTAGCGCTTTTTCACGTCTTCTAGAACGTCTCAAAAGCCCTTCACAGAATAGGCTGTAAAGTGAATTGACTGTATAATTGTGGGCGAAAACTCGGCAGTCAATTGCACACGGCAGTGTCCCCACACAAACAGTCGTGGATTGAAGTGACCAATTTTATTATTGTTTTTTTTCTTGAAGGATTATTATCAAACGTGTGGAGTAAGGAAACTTACCCAAGGTTTTGCTCTGCAGTACAGTAATATTTACCATCTGCAAACTCAGTTCACAAAAATGTCACATTATTCAACAACAACAACAACTTGCATTTATACAGCGCCTTCATTCGGGCCAGCGTCTCCGAGCACTTAAGTTATTCAAATAAGTTATTCAGATCTAACTTATTTGAAGTTTTAATAAAAACTTGTTTTGATTTCTTGGGAAAAAATTTCTTTGTTGTAATCTGAAAAACATGTCCTAACGTGAGACACGATTACACGTCACCTTTAACTTTTTTTGTGCGTGCGGTTTTTTATTTTAAAAGGAAAACATGTTTCCCCAACATTTATTGAAAAAAAACTCCAGGACTCAGTACCCAAGCTTCCAGGAAACAATGCGAAGAAGACGTGTGCAAAATGTTTATAAATTGTTGAAGTCTTTGTTACTAAATGGTTCAAAATTTCAAAGAATTTTGTTAACTGGAATCTTTGCATCTGGTTCGCCAGCCTTTTAATCCCTTCTACACACAGTTATATTAACCGGGCTCTTTGTGCACATGCCAAACTGCCATTTGGAATTAATATCCCAAGGGTCCATTGCTATATAAATGCAAATTGTTGTTGCAAGTGGATGAATCATGCCTATGTGCAAGGCAAATCTGTCAGAACTTGCTGATGTGGACTATGCCTCAGATTCAGAGAGTGGGCCCTTCCATTTCATGTCAGATGTTTGTATATTCCGGATTTGTAATGTGACACTTCCTCAACGTCAGCCAAAAGAATTGAGTTTGATTATAAAGAACCCAAGGCCGGAAAGCCTTCATGGACTGAGCATTAAGATCATGGTCTGAAGAGTTAAAGATGTGCCAAATCTTGGAAAACTCAATCTTGATGAGGGAGTGGGTTGACGCAGTTCTTAAAAAGGAAACTTTTTGCATGGAGCTCATGGAGCTTTGAGGTATTAAGGAACATTGGGATTAAAAGATCTGCCAACATTTAATAAACTGCTGGAACAGGCTTGGTGGGCTGAATGGCCGCCTCCTGTTTCTGTTTCCCGATGTTCTTATGTACATTTGTAGTNAAAATAATAATCCTTACTTTTGGCTCCTTTCACATCAGGATATCTTAAAGTGCTTCACAGGATATACTGTAAAGTGTAGTAACTGTGTGTTTTTGTAGTACCCAGCAATGCTTACAGTAAAATCAATATTCTCGATCAGAGGATGATTGCAAACAAGATTTCCTTCTGATGAAAAATATGTCATATTGTGTGTTCAAATGATTGCAGTTATAAGTTTGAAACAACAAGAATTTATGGAGTTGAACAGATTATTCCAACAATAAGGGCATAGTGCAGAAGAGTACCTTTTAAGAGTGTATAATTCCATTTGTTTATTAACAAGTACAGTATTACTGTGAAGCACGTAAGCATCAGAAAATAAACACAATCAAAATGTTAATTCCAAGATGACATTTTAACCAATTTCTTTTGGCTTTGCGATAAATGTGACTTCTGTGTAACTCATATTACAAAGAAGTATTAATTGGAAAACTACATTGTGGTGTTCTCTTTTTGGTGACAATTTTAGCAATTTTAGTCAAACAATTTTAGTTCGCTTTTTTATTTTATTTCAGAAACTATTTTCACTTCTTTCTTGGATCTTCTTATAATGCACACATTCCAACCAAAAGTCCTGCTTCCACATCTCCACCAATGCTACTCAAAATCCTGCCCCTGGAAGGGCATAGAAACATCCTGTTGTAATGTGTCAGTCTGGCTCAGTTGGTAGCACTCTTGCCTCTGAGTCAGAAGGTTGTGGGATTACTCCCCAAGTCAGCACGTAGAATCAGATAATCTAAGATGACACTCTAATGCAGTGCTGGGGGATAGTCCTTTGGACGAGTCATTAAAATGTTCAGTGGATGTTACAAAATCCCATGGCACTATTCGAGAAGCGAAGGGAATTTCTCCTGGTGTCCTGGCCAAAAATCCCCCAAATAGAATTGGTCTCTCACTGTTTGTGGGACATTGTTGTGTGCATTTTGCCCATATAATACACAGTCAATCTACTTTACCGTATATCCTGTGCAGACTTTGAGAAATCTCAAGCACATGGTAAGGCACTATATCAATTACAAGGATTATTATTATTAATTCACCACTTTTGGAAAAGCACCTGGACTTCGTCTGGTGCCTCCCTGCAGTGGAAAGACTAAGATCAGAAGCCACCTTTTGCACTTGTAAACTAGAGTTGAGGCAGCACTGAAATCTTCATCCCTGGTTGATTCTGGACATCGTTGGAGCTGTGTTCTCACGAGTGGGCGTAGAAGATGCACTTTTTGTCCCGAGCCACTTTACGTTGCCAATTTCCTGTGGTAGCTTTATCAGTCCATAATAAATGGACGTGTTCAAACAGTTTTAAATAGTTTGTTCATAGTATAAACACCTCCTTCTGTACTTCTTCACTCCTTGACGTGTTATAAAGTGTGTCCTGCCCTTTTCATGTAGAAAAGTTGTGTTTCGATATGAAAGTGAATTCCGTGGATAAATTGCATGAAACATATCCACACACCATGACACCAGATAATGGTATCAGGCAATTAAGCCATTGCTGCATATTTAAAATGCCTGTGACATTCTTATAGCTCATAATCTAATCTGTTAGCTGGCCTACCATTTAATGGTGCCGGTTAAAGGACTGAGCTGACTGTCTCACTTGTCGGTGGCTGGTGTAATACTGTTCAGAGCCTTTTAGTGCACGCCATTGAACTTGACAAGGATCTCAATAAGCATTGGCTGCAAATCTTCTGCACTTTTAGGAAGGGGCACTATAATAATAATAATAATAATAGCGATTACCCTTGTATTTGGTATAGTGCCTTTCACAAAAGGAGGATGTCTGAAAGCACTTCACAGGATATACTTAGGATGAGCCATTAAACCAATGACCCATTTGCCTGTTAAAGATCCCATGGCACTATTCGAAAAGAGAAAGCAGTTTTTTTCTCCTGGTATCCTCAGCAAACAATCCCGCAAATAAAATTGGTCACTTAGTCCATGGTTGTTGGTGGGAGTTTGCTTGCACAAACTGGCTGCTACATTTCGTCCACAGACTACACAGTCTTTACTACACACTTTACAGTATATCCTGTGAAGAGCTTTGAGACGCCTCAAGGCTGTGATAAGGCGCTATATCAAATGCAAGGATTAGTATTGTTATTAATATACTGTAAAGTGTAGAGATTCTGTAATTGTGCGCAAATGCAGCAGCCCATTTGCTCACATGAATGTTCCACAAACAGCCTGTGTAGTGAATGACCAAATGTATTTGGGGGATTGTTGGCTAGGACACTCCCAGTCACCAGGAAAAAACTGTCAACACCTTCTGATTTATTTGCTGTTGGTTTTGATTTTTCTGTGAAGGAGATTTGAGAGGACAGTTTCTAATATATAAGGGTTGTTTTAATTGCCAGTAACCCAGCAATAGATATTCCTATGACACTATTTCTTTCTGCCACATAACATTAAATACTTGTCAACTTATGTAAGTGTCAGCAAGACTCAGTTGGTAACAATCTGCACCCTGTGCATTGAAGCCCCCAGAGATCCTTGCCAAGTTCAATA